CAACCATCCGACCAGGTAGAAAGGTGCCGCTCACGCCCTCCAGCACAGCCCGGCCATCGTCCAGCTTCAATCCCAGCCTGAGCAAGGGGATCAGCGTTCATCATGACAGGGTGTTTGAAACAGAATGCCGTGGTCCAACAACCCGGAAACATGAAACTAGTCACTAGTCATCAAAATCTGGTGGGTACAGGAATCCAATGGAATCAATTTCAAAAGTTTTCCATAATTTTCCCATAAAAATGTCACCTGGATCACCACAAGTGCAGCGAGTGTCTCTTGAAAGCGAATGGACACGGGCACCTGCTTTCCTCATCACCAGCAAGGGCTGACAGCCGAGAGCTGCTAAGACAATCATTTAGTGATATTCCATCTTATTGGTGGGTTCAATCCGTAAGAATATCGGTCACTCTAGATGATCTATGATGATGTGAAGGTAAAGGTCTACATATGTCTATGCAAATTATAACTTACGAACATGAATCCACCAAGCCATCCGTGTTTTTGTTTTCTCAATAATCTTGGTTGCCTTGTCTGAATTCCTGCAGAGCCCCAACACAACAGGTCCCAGCTTCTAGTCATCCCGCGGAAGTTGTAGGCATCCACGGCGACAGAGGGAAGGAAGCGCTTGGCAATGGACACCTGAGGGCCAGGAAAGGATCATTCCAACTTAAATCCCATGGTGAAGGGGAACAAAAACTGAAGTACTGTACCATTTCTTTTCTGAGTTTACTTAGTTTACTTTTTGAATGGAAAGACTGGAAAAAAGAGAGAGGGAGAGGGATATATATATATATACTTATATATATATACTTATATATATATACTTATATATATACCGCTGTTTTCAAATAATTTCTGGATTGGCTCATGCTAAACGATACGAAAATACCGAGGGCCTTAGGGGGCTTGCTTTACTAGTCACATCTATACAAAACCCCGTTCACATGGAAGTGCCTGGACCTGATGAAGAACCAATGGATCTGCGTCATTCCATGTCCTACTCTTCAAGCCGTATGCATTTAACCTTTGTGTGGTAGACGTTCTTATATGTTCTCATATGGTTTTTGGGTACTGGATAGCTTGCTTCAATGTTTCAACTTGCTTCATTTCATAGCATGCCTTCCCCACCAAAATATAAAAGTCAGACATTACTACTTTAGGTAAGAGTCTGCGTTTCTATCTTTTTTTGGCGAAATCATTTTTAGCCTCCCAGCTTTTTCCACCCAGCTCCCATATGGAGCTGGCACCGCGTCGACTGGTGGAACCAGGGCACACCAAACGATTCCGCGCTCGTGATCACGGCAGAGCGTTCTGCTCGCTTCTTTTGGAGCCGGCGCCAGTACCTCTAAGCTGATCTAAGCCGGGGATGCTGACTGGGACTACCAGCTGCAGATGGAAATGTAGCAAAAGCATGTGCATATATAGTTGCATACATCGCGTAATAAAGTGCACTACGCACACATATGCAAAAGTATATATATATATAATAATATTTATTTATTTATTTATTTATTTATTTAATTAATTTATTTATTATTATTACGTACGTATAAATATATATTTATGTGGTTATATATATATATATTGTGTATACAGATGTGTGTGTGTATACACATACACATACAAATACGTAATAGATGTACAAGCGCATGTGCGTCTGTATGGAAGATACTGGGAGGGAGATGATAAACTATTATAATGTCATGTAATGTCACATGATGTCACTTTAAGATGCCACAGGTACAGTATGTCAAAATGAAGGTGATTGAAGGTGCAATCAACATGGGGATGCAATCATCAAAACGAGGTAATCTCGTGGGGAATGTCTGGCGGTGTCTAGACCCATCCGCACTGCTACATGAAACGCCTTTGCAATGGCAGCCTAGGTTAGCCTTCAAGGAATGACAAGCATCCTGAGCATTTTATCGTTGTTCATTCTCCCAGTTAGTATGAAACACTAGGATTTTGACGCCAGTGCTCTGGAAGTTCAAGGCGCGCAAGACTGTTCAAACCCCACTGCCAAGGTACAAGTGAAAGAAGTAGATCGTCAAGAAAAGGAGCCTTGGAGCCAGCAGCTTATACTAATACACACATTTTTTACCATTTGGAGATATTTGGAGTTACATGAGTATGTTATACATACAGCTGTTAGATTGTTAGACCATGTTAGACCCCTTTTGGGCTTTTATTAAGTTTCAGCACTCGCATCACAGTTTTTCAGCTCCAAAACTGCTGCGGGTGACAACAATGCACTGCTGGCGGCCAAAGGTGGCCATCGCTTTTGCTCCACGAAGTAACCTCAAGTCGCGTCCAGGACTCCAAGACTGCAAGAGGTCAGCATTGGGGGGCGGATTCAAACCTGCAAACCATTCGAAACTTACAAAGTTTTGAAGAATTCCATCAGTTTCATTGGATTCTAGTGGATGTTGATGTGGGATTTTGGTCTGGCCAATCAAATCGTTTAAAACCATTCTCTAGCCGCTAGCCGCTATCCCCATCATCCATCTCTTTAGAATTTCTATATCAAAAATTCCCCAGTGGGCATCCCTTGAGCCCCAAAATGATGCCCAGTCACTGTACAGTGATGGCTGCTCCACTGATGGACATCCAGCCTCACCATGATCCATCTGCGCAGTCATGAACTCGTGGTAGCGGGTGGCCTGAATCCGAATCCCAAGCCCAGGGGCCCCGGGGCCCAGGGCAGGGCAGTAGTAAGCTCAGCATAGCGTCAATGGGAAAATAAAATGAACGTATTATGATGTATTATTATGTATTATTATCATATATTATGAACATGTATGCAACACAAGTTTGCGTTTCTTCATGTTATTGTGCGACTTCTTTCTGGGCAATGTAAATGTACAGGACCACCTTCTGAATCTCATGTGTGGGGTCCGGGCAGTGGAATGTCTGAATAGGAAGTGGTCACATGTGTCACCAAATGTAGATTCATTGTTGCATACTTGCTATCCAGAGAGGGAAGAAAAGACATACTACCCACGTCTCATCATACTTTGCCTCAACTGGTCCATAACCATATCCCCAAGCATTCCCAGCCACTCCCAACCATTCCCAAACATTCCCAACCAGCCTGTGTGGGATCACTCAAGTTGTTGAAACCAAAGCTGGCCGCTGCCTTCGGGTCATCGCCACCCATGGTGGTTTTGAATCCACTGACATCCAGTTTCGGCACTTCCGTGGTCGAGATCTTCTTGGTGGTGGTGCTTTCAGTGGTGGTCTCGGTGGTGGCTTCTGTGGTGGTTTCCGTGGTGGTTTCCGTGGTGGTCTCCGTCGTGGTCACGGGGGTCTGCTTGGTCTTGGTCTTGGGCTTGGGCTTTGCACCCAGCAAATCGGCTAAGCTATTCACTCCTGACTCCAAGGTGTCCTCTAGGGAGGGCTTTTTCAAGACCCTCTCCTTTCCAAATGAGTCCACTGAAGTCGCTTTTCCCATGGCGAAACAGGATGCACACAAGTACACTGAGAGGTGATGCGTTGTTGGTGTGATGCTGTAAGCTCCGCGATGATGTTGACAACTGTATTTGCAGAAGGGAAACCTTCTTAGATATGGCATCTCACGATGTCTCTTGGATATTTGTTCCAGTCCCGGCTGCAGGATGATATGCAACAAGATCATGTAGGTAACCATAGACACCCAATGAATCCCAATGAGCTCTCCAGAACATGCCATAAAAGGTAGCTCCCCCAGGGCCCGGGAACACCAACACTGACAACAAGTAACATCAAGTAATCCCATCCCATCCTCTTGATATCCCTTGATGTTATACCATGAAATATATATATATATATAATATTAAATATATATATATATATGCAGTATATATTTCATAAATACAACCCAAATTGACATACATTACTTTACTTCGTGTGATCCCCACCATGACATTTATACATTTTCTTACTGGCAAATCTTCTGGCATTCTATCTGACATATATATCTTCTGGCATTCTATCTGGCATTCTATCTGGCATTCTATGCATACATATGTTCTCGCATACATATGTTCTGGCATTCTATCTATCTTCTGGCATTCTAACATCTTCTGGCATTCTATCTGGCATTCTATCTGGCATATCTTCTGGCATATCTGACATATCTTCTGGCATTCTATCTGGCATTCTATCTGGCATATCTTCTGGCATATGTTCTCGCATCTGGCATTCTATCTGGCATATCTATCTTCTGGCATTCTATCTGGCAAATCTTCTGGCATTCTATCTGGCATATCTTCTGGCATTCTATCTGACATATCTTCTGGCATTCTATCTGGCATATCTTCTGGCATTCTATCTGGCATACCTTCTGGCATTCTATCTGGCATATCTTCTGGCATATCTGGTATTTCTTCTGGCATTCTATCTGGCATATCTTCTGGCATTCTATCTGGTATATCTTCTGGCATTCTATCTGGCATTCTTCTGGCATTCTATCTGGCATTCTATCTGGCATATCTCATGGCATTTCTATCTGGCATATCTTCTTTATTCCATCTGACATTCTATCTGGCATGATGAGCTTCCCTGGTCCATTGAGCTGATCTGAGGTCGGTGCACACCTGAGCTGGGCAGGTCCCAGGTTGAGGTCCAGCGGTGCACACTGAGCTGGGAAGGTCCCAGGTTGAGGTCCAGCGGTGCACACTGAGCTGGGAAGGTCCCAGGTTGAGGTCCAGCGGTGCACACTGAGCTGGGAAGTTGGTAAAGAGCTTGGCGAAGAGAGTTGGCAAAGAGCTTGGCGAAGAGTTGGCAAGGCGGGAGTGCAGGTGGAAGTTGATGCAGACATGGTCGAGGAGAAACTGGAGGAGGAGGAGGAGGCGAGGAAGAGGAGGAGAAGGAAGAGGAGAAGAGCTAGCCGAGGAGGAGAAGAACAACTCTGATAAAATCTAACAACCCTCACCTGGAAGGTGGGGAATTGACTAAAGCCAATACCAAACGAATGGCTTTTAGGTGGATCAACCCAGCTTGAAGATCCGGCCATGGCTCACCTCCGGGCAAACAGCTGGTCCAGACCTCATGATGTCATGAGGAGCTGAAACTTCCATAATGTTTGACTGTGTGCTGCTCATCAGTTGGCGCTTATATAAGCCCATCATCCCCCAACATAATCCTCAATTTAGATTCATGATGACATCCGATCACATCCCACTGGGGTCACCTAATCTCCTGGCAAAACACACCCTTGTGGATCATGTAATTAACCAAGTTGGGCAGCCAATGAAAAAAGCAAGGTTGACATAAAACAACATATACGGTAGATTACAGTCAATTCGTAAAGTTTTGAACGAGACCATCTTTTTTCAAGTTTTGGACCTTGGTTCATGATCGGCCTGAGGTACAAGCACTGCCCCCTTGGCATCTACAACTCCTTGATCTCCAGCACCCAGATAGCAGAACTCAGCAAGAATCACTGCAGCAGTCTTGGCTCGAACCAGGCCCAGCGCTATCACCAAGGGGAGGGGAATCGTCAGTTTTTGGATGGATAGAAACTCTCCCCAAATCAGCACAGACCCTTCCAGGCCCTTCGACCCTTCGCGGCTACGGGAACCCCGGACCAACTCCGAGGGCGAATAAACGAAACGACCACAGCCTCGGCAGTGCATCTGCTGACATTGATGCAACCCAGGACAATGCGCAGAAAGAACACTCATATCACCCATATCATCTCACATCCATGTATATCCGTATGTATATAAATATATCCATGCATGTCACAGATGTGTATATCTGTCATTATAGGCATATGTATAGACATCATATGTGGCTGCCACTGATAAGGAAAGGAGCACGTCGGCTCCCATGACTAAAACGTTTTAGTCACCTGAGCTCATCCAGCCTGCTGTCTTTGAGCAAAGCATTTGGCACTCCAAAAAGTCGAAGACGTTCTGAGCCAATGGGGCGCTCGGGAGGATGGCTTTGGGAAACTTCCCTCTTGGGACAAAGCCTGACAAAGCCATAGTGCCATAATTTGTTTGGGACAGCTGGACCGCCTATCCGGAAAGTTTATGAAAGTTCGAGGCAGCTTGCAACCAACACGAGTCCAGGAGCAACTACCCCTTCCCAGATTTGCGCCTCAATGGGATTGGTAACATGGTCCAGGTGCGTTAAGAGATACCTGGCAGAGTGGCTGCTTCGTCTTCCGGATGCTGGCGGGCGAAAATGATGGTCTACAGTAGTAATCCATGAGAATCCATCGGAATTGAGGCCCATCTTCAGACTAAGCCACGTCTTCATGCCAATAATTATTGCCTGTGGATCGCAAGCAGGTGGTCCAGAAATAAACATTGCGGACTTTTTGCACCAACCACCACGCCAGCCCCAGAAACGAATGACAAGAAGGTGGAGCAACCCGCACACCAAACAAACAACAAATGGACCTCGCATCTCGCAGGTAGCATCCTGGCACAAGAGGACTGGAACAGGAGTCGCAGGATTTTGGCAGGCAATCTCAAAAACTTCTGCACTTTTCTTGGTAAAAAAATCACAAGGGACGTGCATCAATGTGGATTGGCTGACTTGGCCCAATGCTTTCCAAAAACATCCAAAGCGTTTCCAAGGTGCACATGCCCCACACCCATGGCCCCTTCTAGCCATCTGAAGCCTGGCACTTTCTTGGTATCAACACCGTCCACTGTCGCCACCTGAATGCGAGGAAGTCGCTGGGATGCCATAGGGCCCAGTGAGGGTATCCACTGGAAGGTGCCTTGTTGGACCCCCTAGGGCCCTAGGACGACAGAGAATCGCCAGCTTATTTCTGATTCCTCATGCCGCAGCTGTTATCCACCCTGCGTATCCCTGCGTAGGAAACCCGGTGGCAACATGGATCAACTGGCCCACACATCTGGGACTTCAGCGAACACTGGAAGGATCAGGATGACCATAGCGCGGCCACAATACATGGAGGAGTACGTCATGGGGAAATGTCACCCCATTGATCATCTAATCTAATCCCTGCAGAATCTAAAAAGATTGAGTATGAGCTAGTCATTGTGGATTCTGGATCATCACCTCGGGATGTAGTTTGAGACAATTCGTAACACCCTGAAATTCCGCACTAGTGACACACACACACATATGAAACAACCCAATGAGACGTGAAGTTAAAATAAATTTCGAATTCATTGCCGATCCAATCCAGGCATGTCATGCTTGGCAAGGCTTGACCGAATCCGTGTTCCAGCCCATATGGCTGCACACGGCCAGTGCAAAACAGTCATCTAGTGACAAAACAGAACCTGACTCAAACAATTCAAAAGAATCGATGTTCAAACAGGATATAATCCCTTTTAACCGGATTAAATGCAGCAAATCTATTTTCTCGTGTCTGTCACTTACTTCGTGTTTTTTTTGGAGGGGGGTTTTGAAAAAGGTTTGGGCTCAAAAGACCCCCCCGAACCTTAGTGGGACGTTTACCCACGGGCTGCTTGACCATTGGTCGCTTTGCGGTGTGCAGCCTTCACCCACTTCAACGCTCCAAGCATCTCATCTGCATTGCGTGAATTCCGCTGTGCTGTACGGTGACTTTGCATTGAGCTTTGATACCATTGATTCTGATCCTGAACCTCTGAACTGGCTTGCCCTGGAGGGTTTTTGGGTATTTGGAATCTATATTTGATATTTTTTGTGGGCTTCTCTGGTTCTGCGGTGGCCAATCACCGGCCCATTTTCGAATTGCTTCTGAACTGGCAAGCCCTGGAAGCGTGCATTTCATTGTGTACATGCGTTTTTCCCTTGCTGCTCTGCTCCTTTTGATCTTATTTATTTATCACGGCTGTGACTTCAACGCTGCGCAGAAGACAGAGGCGTTTGAGAGCTATTGCCAGATTTATTTGGTGGCAGATCAAGACAAGCAGAAGGGAAGGTACACCTCAATTGCTCCGGTGGGTGAGACAAACTCTCTGGACACACCATTCCCGAGACGCACATTTCAATTCTGTGATCAAGCGCAGATTGAAAGAAGCGATGACAGATCAACAGCAAGGCAATTCAGGGTGGCCCTGCACATGGTGTCGAGTGATGAACGGCAAACATGCCAGATGCTGCCACAGTTGTGGAGAAACGTGGATGGAAGTAGGAGAAGGATATGGCAATTCGTACAGGTCATGGTCCAAATCCCGCCACCATCAGAACCACAATCAGCAGCAGTGGCCTCAGACACCGAGACCCAAGTCACCCAGGCAGAAAGGAAAAGGCAAGGGGAAGAAGGGAAAGAGTCCCCGCCCACGCAAGCAGCATCAAGGTGGCGATCCATCGACCCAGATGCAAACACAACCCGGGCCGAATCCCGCCAAGGCGGCTGTACCTACAGTAGCAACCGGGCTGTCGTGGATGCAGGCAGCACAGTCAATGACAGCTCCTATGCCAGCGGTGACTGCAGAGGCCCATCCACCTGCCGCGGTGGTGCCAGTAGAATACAAGGGATTGATCGAATCCCTGAAGAGGAACCAATCCAAAGGCACTTTGCCAGAGGATGTTCAACAAGAAATGAAGACCCTTCAGGTCAAAGAAGAAAAGGAGCATACAAAGGAATTGAATCAGGCCGTCAAAGGTCTCAGAAAGGCAAGGAAGGAATTGCAAGAATCCTTCGAAGCTCGAGCACAGCTGCACTCACAATGGCGTACCTTTCTATCTTTGAGTGTTACTCAATGGCAAGGTTTCACCTCACAGTTCCAGGCCCAAGAAGCAGTTGCATTGAGGAGGGTTACCGATGCACAGACTGCCTTGCAGGAGGCCAAAGCGCAGCTGGCCAGCTCCAAGGAGATTGCAGACATATCTACGAATGCCAATGCAGAACCATCCGAACATGGAGTGGCCGATGTCGATTTGATTTCAGACGACGACAGTGCCAAAGTGGAGGACAATGTTTCCAAGATGCAAGCGGGTATGCAGAATCTTACAGTTACATTGGAACGACTCCACCATGCGGCGGAGGATATCCTCGCCAGCGAGCAGGCAGCCAAGAAGGCGAGGATCGAAAGCCAGGAAGATGCCAACTCGAGCATACCTGGTGGTTCACAACTCCAGCCTTTTGCCAAGCCCGGCACCAAACGACCACAACAGGGTGTTGGTGCCTAGGGCAGAATGCCCTAGCCGGAGAGGCTCATTTGATTGTGTTGAAGTGGACGCACTCCATTTTGGCAGAACCAACTTTCTGCACAGAGTGGGAAGCTGAGACGAAGGCGCTGGCTTTATCTCTGGAGTGTGGTACAATGGGGGGCAACATGATCAAAGCTTTGCCAAAGGAGCCCAGGCGGCTAATGCCAAGAGCAATCTCAATTTCCAAAATTAGCTTTTCAGATGATGTGACAGTGCTGTGTGTGAATCCCTGGAGACGCAATTGTGCCATTTCACATTGCGGACATGGACAGATTCAGGAAACTCTCGCACACCTTCAATTCAAAATCACTGTTGATGATGCTCCGCTGTCTGCCTCTTGGGGTATGGCCGTGTCGAGCTCCAACAGTTGGAACCCAGATGAATCCTCTTTCATGCAGCTTCAACCCCGCAGGCACAATGAGCCAGAGGTTCCACCATGGTATGGATATGAACCCCAACATTTTGCAGCTGCGCACCAGGAGGATGATCCAACCGACGATTCTGATTTCTCTGAAGAAAGCCCAGGCAACGAGGATCCAAATGGCCCAGATGATGATCCACCAGCTGATGATCCTGATGATCCAGCACCTGGGCAACCACCTTCAGAAGATGACGAGCGACAATCCGCTCTTCTTTTTCATCTCACAGATGTCCCAGTGCATGCTATGCTACACTGGGTTCACTTTGAACCAATGATGCGTGAAATTGCTCACCACTTTGCAATTGATCGAGCTGAACTATTGGATTGCCATGACATGCAAGAGTTTCCTGATGACACGCCGGTAGGGACGGTGCCAATTATTGTCCAGTTTGCCAGAGATATACCGGTCGGTCAACAGATGGTCTTGATTTTGATTGACATTGCCCTTCACGGACAAGAGCGGGAGCCACATTTTCAAACTGCACCGAGGGTGCAGAGGAAAGTAGTGCCGGTGCCGTACATGCTGGCTAGGCAAACCTTGTTGATTCAACTTCAGGTCTTTGAGTACTGTCGCTTTGAACACAATAGGTGCCTTGTCAATCACAACAAAGACGCATGGCCTTTTCAAGAGTTTTGGCCGCGACAGATGCAGCATGGGGACTATGTGGAAATCATTATCCCACCTCCTCAAAAGTGTGATGAATCTACTGCTGCCATGTTGAATGACAGTAGAAGACTCGAGGTCGAAGATTTCTGGGATAGATATTACATCCCTACGAGTCCATCAGAAGCCTTGAATGAGTCAGAAACAGATGTTTCTCCGAGTTTGATCGACTCTGAAGAAATCCGCAATGAATATGGGCCAAGGAATGATGAGGATGCACCGGAACTGGAAGATGACGCTGCGAGCCTCATGCACATACAGACGGCTAGTAGCAGTTCGACGGGACCCAATACAGAACAAGCTGTCAATGACTCCTGTGTTCTTAATTTCCCAATGAATTTCGATCCTGCTCATGACAGATGGCCATTATGGTTTCGAGGCGCAACATCAGCTTTCTTTCAAGGAGCAACGATCGAAGATGATGATGAGGGACCTGTGGCGTTCCTGACCACATGGTATGCCGACTGTAATCTGCCTCTGGTAAGCGAAGAATCCAGGGTTATTAGGGTGGACAGTTACTCATATCTCTGGGCACAGGACATTCAGAACCTGTGGCAAGACAAAATCCAGACTGGGGTACCTGTCCACTTTGCATGGGTCCAGCCTCGACCACCAGAGACACCATATGCGCGTACAATTGGCCATTTGATTGTCTTCCAACATCCGAATCAGCTTGTTGCACCTGTACTGCTCCACTTTGATTTTCAGGCTCTTAATCTGGATGGCACAGCATTTGCAGTTGCAGTTTTGCGACATAGTGCAACACCTGAGGAGGTAGTTACGCAAGCCAAGTTGGATCGCATCTGCCGGGGTCGCCGCTGCACCCTCCATCGTGGTGTGTCAGGATTTAAATGGACTGATGACCTTTTGACTGGCGAGTGTATCAAATTGTTCATCCCACCACCTGGAGGTAGAGCCCATGATCAATTGCACTGGGGTCTCGGGTCAGTAGCTTTAGTCTTCCCTGATGATTTTGTGCCAGCAGTTCCGCTCCTCTCTATGAGAATAGAGGACCAGCCAACATGCATTCAAAGCCTTTATGAACTTTGGCTCCAACTTGCACGCCGAGGTGGAGCTGAAATTGAAATGACACTTGTAATTCAAACATGGTACCTTGATGGTGTGTCAGTCACCCGAAATGATGAGCACAGACCGGTGCTACTAGGGGATGATTACACCACCTGGATCGATGACATGAGACGAGTTTGGCAGGACCAAGAGGATGCTAGTCTTGACATGGACTTTGCCCTGATCCACCCTACACCACCATGTAGTCCACTCAGCAGCATTCATGTCCTTTTATATCAGCAGTTTGCAAGTAACCAAGTCGGAGTTGTTGTCTCGATCTATGACAATGCAGTTGTGGCTGATTCCCCTCACTCTATTGCGGTTGTGCTTCCTAACCTTCTCATGACAAATGCACGACTCTTGGAGGCAGTTGGTCGACAATCGGATTGTGAGTTACCAGGAGTCCAATGTCGCTCCTGGTATGAGGGATGTGAAATCACACCAGAAGGACGCAGTGTCAAGCATGGAGACAGTTTGCAAATTCACATCTATCGAGCGCACTTGCATGATTGGGATCAGGATGATGGCATTGCTCTCATGCAAACAAACGGACCACACCATGCGGGAAGAACGCAAGGTACATCAATGAATGCAGTCCTTGCGAACACATCCCAAACCTGTTTGAATGTGCATGCGGCAGAGTTTATACCAGGACGTCCAATGATTTCTAGCCTCCCAGAGCAGCTCCAAGACTTGCATGCATTATGGCACCAACATGCATCCGTTTCGGAGAGAGGCGAAAGGAGATCTAGTGTCCAAACCTGGTTTCTCAGCCCAGGCACCCAGCGCATGAAGTGCGGATACTCCAGGAAGGTCCATTTGTATGAAGACTATATGCAATGGGAACAGCGAATCAAAGAGGTTTGGCATGATGACCTTGATCCTACCAGTCCAGTTTTTCTGTTTGTGGTACAACCCACACCAATTGCTCTTGAGCATGATGCTGTTGCGCATGTTTTGGTTACCCAGGCACCAACGGAAAATGAGGTCTCCAGTTTGGTCACCATCTTTGACAATGCTGTGCATAACGGACACCCGTTCCGTATAGCCATTGTCACGCATGAGCATATTCGGCAAGCAGAAATCCTTGAGCGCATTGGGTACACAGAGGAGGTACGACGCTATGCCACAAGTATGAGATGCGTGTTTTGGCATAACTCCTACCAATTCCACCACACACAGAGAGTCCCAGGACGTGATGGTGACAATCTGATGGTCCGCTTCGATCGGAATTTGATTGAACCGGATTGGCACCCACCATTTCTCCCAGTTAACCCTGGTATGGAAGGCCTTCAATTCCTTCAGATGCAAACCACACAACTTGGAAAAACCATCCGGCATGAAGCCGAAGAGAGTGAGACTGTGAAGTTGAACATTAGCCCTGTCCAATCAGTGCTGGATAGCTTTGATACTCACTTCTCGCTTCCAGCATTTGACATTGAAAGCCGCCTCGAGGGACACGTCCATTGGCTGCCAGAATCCCTGCAGTGGATTCGCACATTTTGGTATGCATGCGATGGACCAGTAGATCGTATTCGAATCTATTATGATGGATCCTTCAAGCCATCGGCCCAGACCATTGGATTTGCGGCAGCTGCATTTGTTCACTACCAAGGTGATTGGTGTTTTGCAGGAGCCATCTCAGGAATGGATCACACAAACACGGGATTGGGATCCTACAAGGCGGAACTCTTTGCATCAACCATTGCCACCAAATTCCTTTATGACATTAGTAAGGTTTTATGTGAGCTTTTTGCATGCCAGCCCCGATGCGAATTAGTTTTTGATTCACTCACAGTCGGTCGCCAATCAGAAGGCCGATGGAAAGCTGCTAAAGCCATTGAGGGTTGCCATTTGATTCGTAGCATTCTGCGACTGTGTGAATCCAGATTCGGAATCATTGCTGAGCATACATTTTGCCCCAGCCATGCAGGCGAACCAGGGAATGAGCTGGTAGACCAATTAGCTTTCAGTGCCGCATCCGGTTTTCCCCTGCAAGACTGGACCCATTTCCTTGATCAAATGCAGCGTCGTGAAGTGATCACGGCCATGGAGTGGACATGGATGCTATTTGAACCTCTGCCTGCAGTTCATGCTACGGAAGGACAATTGCACTTCCCTGCCAAACCTTCGACCACGCCTGCCAATGATGTCATTCCCACTTTTGAAGCACCCCAGGGTTTGCCTCAGCAATGGAAAATCAAAATGACAGTAGCAACATGCAATATCTTGACGCTTCAAAGTGGACGCAAGACTGATCAGATCTTTCAGACAGGGGTTGCGGGACCATCCCGACAGGAATGGATTCTGAACACGTTTGCAGAACATGGTGTCCATATCTTTGCCTTGCAGGAGACGCGTTTGAAGAAGATTTGGAAACATCAAGACCCGCATTTTCATTTGATCCAGAGCTCTGCCACGGCACAAGGCCACTTTGGCATGATGATTGGTTTGGCGAAACATAGTCCGCATGGATGGCATGGCACAACACCAGTGCATTTCACAGAAGATCATTTTACCATCATTGTGGCTGAACCTCGCATCCTTATCATTGCCGTCAGATCTGAGGCCTTGAAATGCCTGGTCATTGCTGCACACGCGCCACACACGGGTGCACCATTTCCAGATATTGACAAATTCTGGAGAGATGTTACATTCAGTATCCCAGTCAAATATGATTCATGGCCCAAGCTCCTCCTTACTGACGCTAACTGTCGCATAGGAGGCCAGCCAAATGGTAGGGTTGGAGATTGGCAATCTGAGGGAATGAATGAAAAAAGCCAACCGTTTGTGGACTTTCTAGCAGTACAAGACTTGTTTCTGCCGAGTACATTTGAAGATCTGCACCATGGCTCTGGAGGAACGTGGCTTCACTTTGATGGGACATGGAAACGTAATGACTTCATTGGCCTGAGTTGCAGCCTGCCTTATCAGGAATGCACTACGTGGATCCCGGAGGAAATTGATTTTTCTCTTGCCAAAGAGGATCACCGGCCGCTGTTTGCACGGATCGCTTGGGAAGTGACATGCATGAATGGATCTCACCCGAAGCGAGGCCCCAAGTACCGGCATGAGCATTTTGACCAGAAGACGCTTGCTGACCAAGCCAAGAAAAGTAAGCAGTCATTTGATGTTGATGTTCACACACATGCCTGGCAAGTCCAGCAGGCGTTAGTCGCATGCTGCAGACGCAAAGTATCCATGCCCAAGAAGCCACGCAAAGCCACTATTACTGCAATGACTTGGACTCTGATTCAGCACAAACAGCAATGGCGCCGAGTATTGGCCGACCATCAGAAAATTCAGAAACAAACCCAATTGACCAAGTTCTTTGCTGCCTGGCGTTGTTCACGCTATGGGAAGTTGCCAGAGATTCAGATCCAGGAGTTTGACCGCATGTTGCAGGCACAAGATCGTGACATTGCCTCGGCTTTGTCTGCATTTCGAGATCTAGGGCGTCAAGTCACTGCTGCATTGCGCTCAGATGATGCTGCCTTTTTTGCTTGCCTCTCTCGGGAAGTTTCGGACTTCCTTGGTCCTCACCAAACCCGAGAATTTTGGCAGATCTTGCGTCGGAGTTTGCCTCGATTTCGTTCCCGTAGGTTTGGACATGACCCTCACAAAGTGGAAGTCTTGCAAGACCAATGGGCGCCGTATTTCATGCAACTTGAAAGCGGTGTACAGAAAGCAGCGCCACGCATCGTAGAAGACTGCCATAGCCGGCAGATGGGTCTCCCTCCGGCACAACTCTGTTTTGATCACTCCGACTTGCCTTCCATCATTGAACTTGAAGATGCCTTGCGAGAGACACAGGCTGATAAAGCCACAGGTCTGGACCCCATACCGTCAGGGCTTTTTCGTGCATATGCCACTGAACTTGCAACCATTTATTTTCCGCTTCTGTTCAAAATTTGCATTTGGCAGCATGAACCTGTGGCTTCAAAGGGAGGTCAAATCGCAGTGATTTACAAACGAGGGTCAGGCCTACAGGCTTCTGATTATCGTGGGATCATGCTGTTGCCTTCTTTCGCCAAGAGACTACATGCTTTGTTGCGTGTGAGAGTGATGAAATTGTTGGGCCACCAACGCCCTCAAGGTCAACTCGGGGGTTTTCCTGCGATGCAAGTACCATATGGATCCCAGCTCCTGCAAACTTTCGGAAGATTGATGGATGCCATTGATGTTTCTTCCGCTGTGGTTTTCATTGATCTGAGCAATGCTTTCCACAGACTCATCCGGGAGCTGGTTTCTGGAATTTCCATCCCGGAAGATGTTGAGGACTTGCTTGAAAGGCTGATGGAGGAAGGGCTGCCGGTTACTGAGCTCATTGAAGTTTTGCAACTCCCTTGTCTTTTGGAGAAGCTACAGGCCCCGCAGTTTCTGGTGAAGTTGATCCAAGACCTCCACACAGATACTTGGATGTATGTCCCAGGCGCCCAAGTCCCCATAGTCACCAAGAAGGGGACGCGACCAGGTTCCCCCTTGGCTGACTGCATTTTTCATGTTCTGATGACTGACATTGCCAAAGACCTCAATGCTCTCATTGCAGATGATAGGCAGTTTCAGAAGATTATGCAGAAGGCCGATCTGCATGTGGAGAGTATCATTTGGGCGGATGATGTTGCTATCCCAGTCGCAACCGAGACGGCAAGTGATCTCCCGCAAGCCATTGAGCATATTCTGGTCAGTGCGCATGCCATCTTCATGAAACGTGGCTTCACCCTGAACATGCAAAAAGGCAAGACCAGCGTAGTTGCAACTTTCAGGGGGCCGGGCGCTCCGATCATGCGGGCGAAATTCCAACTTTGTGCAAGACCTGGTATTGAAGTCTGTTTCAATGGGCAGATGACCTTTGTGCATTTTGTAGGGCATTACAAACACTTAGGCACCATTTTCAGCTCTTCACATACTATGGATCAAGAGATTGCCACGAGAATCGGATTAGCCAAAAGTGCATTTGCACAGGTTGCTGCCACCATTTTGTGTAACAGGAACATCCCTGAGCACACTCGGGTGAGGATGTTCCGGGCACTGATCGAGAGCCGCCTTTTCTTCGGCCTAGGGGCTTGGAAAACACCAACAGCACGCCAAATGGCAAAGATCCAAGCAGCTCTCTTAGCCATGCTACGTAAACTTTTCCGCCTGAAGCCGGAGGAAATCCAATGTACAACAGCAGCGGACCTTTTCCACCGTGCGCAACTGTGCTCCCCTAGAGCAAGGCTTGCGGTAGATCGACTTCTCTATGCGCAAAAGATGTGGCAGCATGGTCCTGAGATGCTGCAACATTGTCTCCACAGGGAAGAAGCCCTCACTCCAGACTCATGGATGCTGGGCCTGAAGTATGATCTACATTGGCTATATGAGCTAGATCCGCTCGGTGTGCCACCTTTAGCGCCTATGTGCCATGCCAAAGACCCTGCGCACTTTGACCTCACGGATGTCATTGATTTTTGGCAAGCTGGAGGAACAGAGTGGATTAAGGGTGTGAAAAGAGCCTGGAAAAGATTTGTCCGCCAAGAGACCATGATGAATGACCTCATTGACTTGCACAGACAATTCTTCCAGGTCCTCACAAAGGAAGGCAAGGCCACTTTTGATCCTTCACCCTTTGGGCAAGCGGATCAACGAGCCTGCACATTCCTTTGCCATTGTGGTAGGCAGTTCACCACCGCGCAAGGGCTGGCACTTCACAAACGCCACAAACATCAAGAATTCTCTGTCGAGCACGACTTGATTGAAGGGACCACGTGTCCAGAGTGCCTTCGGCACTTTTGGTCCAAACAAAGACTATACCAACATCTTTCATATATCCCCAGGCGCACCCAGATCAATGAGTGCTATCAAGCACTACGACAACGAGGCTTCAAGGCAGACACAGTGATTGGGCCATTTCACCAACTGCCTAAGGAAGTGCGAGGGCTGAGCCGCGTTGAGGCTCAACAAGCATTTGGCCCCAGGCAACCACTGGCAGTCCATCATCAGCAGATCATGAAGCCGCTGCAAGTCAGAATCGACCACTTGCGTGAACAGCTGGCTATTACACACAAACCGGAGGACCCAGTGGCAACCAGAGGACAAGTATGTGAATTTCTGACCACTACCACCAATGAGTGGTTTCAACAATTCTGTCAAGAAGGCTATGATGAGGAGCTGGCTGATAATCTGCCTGACCTTTGGCTAGCTGTCCTTTTCCAATTTGAGGAAGGCATTGACGAATGGATTGAGGCAGAGATTCTAGCATGGGGTCAGAACCATCTCCCAGATGTCATTGCGACCTTCGAAGACGGGGTAGCTGAGAAGCTGGTCGATGAGCAGTATGCACAGATGATTGATGATTTTCCCCGACAACAGTTGCTGAAGCAGATTGCCCAGTGTGAAGCACGTGTGCGAGAGGCAGAAGTTGAGAGTGGGAAGCAGTTCCCGCACAGGGCCATGCGCAGTGCCAATGCCAATGTTACCGAAAGAGCGGTGCATGATGCAAAAGTGGGCAGTCTCTTTACAACTCAGACTGTCCTTTTCGCGCAGATCAGCAAGGCCAAATGGTTAGACCTTCCTGCATCTACCAAGCTGCCCCTCTGTGCAACCGTGCAAGAGCAACCTCTGTTTCTTATTGCGCACCTCTTCAGCGGACGTCGTCGGGTTGGTGATGTGCACGATAGGCTGATGTTTTGGGCTCAGAAGGCTGGTATCCGCATTTTGGTCTTGTCACTCGACACGGCCAATTCAGTGACGTTTGGTGACCTTCATCATACATCCACCACATGGGCTCAGTTATTGCGGCTGTATCAGGAAGGGCGCATTGCGGCTACCATAACTGGGGCGCCATGTGAGACATGGTCAGCGGCCAGACACAATGTCCTGGTAGACGCAGAGGGGAATCCTGTACCGCATCAACCGCGGCCACTGCGCGATCGAGAGAATATCTTTGGCAGAAAGGGTCTCACTGCCAGGGAACTCAGGCAGCTGCAGCAGGGATCTCTCTTCTTTATGCAGATGACAATTACAATAGCGTGGGCACTTTGCACAGGCGGACTGTACCTGAGTGAGCACCCAGCTCCTCCATCTCATCCGGAGGCAGCCAGCATTTGGTTGACACCATGGATACGTCTGCTACGAATGCATCCGGAAGTGGCCTTGCATGTAGTTGCACAATGGAAGTGGGGATGTACAGTTAGCAAGCCAACGGGCTTGCTGGCGGTCAGGCTACCGTTTTTTGGTAGATCCATGCACAGCCGACAGCTTGAGCATGCCGTTGCCCCCAAAGAGGTGGCCATTGGTGTGGGCCAGGATGGCAAATTCAGAACGGCCGCTCACAAGGAGTATCCCCCTCAGTTTTGCGATGCCTTAGCAGGCACTTTGATCGACCAGATTGATGCTTGCCGAAGGCAGAATCTGTGCAGAAACTGTACAGAAATGGACCCGGACCTTGTGGAATGGATGAAGGACGCTGAAGCACAGCGCAGCGCCATCCGCAGCAATGCCACTTGGCTCCCTGACTACCAAGGGTCCTAGCTTTTTCCCAATTAGTAATTTGAGAGTTTGCAAGCACCTGGCTGCAAGGAGAGACCTTTTGAGCCGTGAATGTGAAATGTGAAATGTGGGTTTTGAAAGCAGCTTTCGGCAAACCTCTTGGGGGAGCTGGATGCAATGATGAGGAGCTCCCACCTCTCCGCGCCCGCTTTGATCACACAGACTCCACGCTCCTGGTCCAGTCATTTTCTCACATGCGCTTCGTAAATCGCGGATCATATGAACCTATAATAACCTATATAGGGCCAAGGTATCAGACCGTTTTTGTTTTTCAATTGCGGTTGATCATCATGTTTTCCATGGAAACTGCCATGTTTTCATGGGTACACCCATGGTATACGCGTCCTTGAGTTTCGCCACCACGGCCTGCGCAACTTCCACGTTGTTCTTGCCCACCAGGTGGACGTCGAAGGGTGCTGGGGTGGTGGGGTGAGTTGGGGAGCTCTGCCATCCTGCCAGCGGAGTCATATCCAATTATCCAACGAGACCTTTCCATACCTTTCCGGTGCTCTGCTCATCATAGATCTGCATAAATCAAAAGAAATCACTCTGAATCAAGGCCAGTTTTCTGGATGATTTCCCTAAAATGAAACATCATTCGCAGTGACGTCGCAGTGAGGTCCATATCATTTATCCAGAATGCCCCCTCCACACCTGGGCTGGCCCCACTGACTCTCGGCTCCGCTGGCCCAGCCGCTTCGTCGGCCTTGGGCGCTTTGAAGGCGAGTCCGGGAATGGCAGATATACCCGTCTTGTGGCAACTTGAATCTATGAACATCTCGAAATATGGTGATAGACAGTGAAATGGAATGAAATGGAATGTGGTAGAGGACTGAAGTGGTTCACACCATTTGTTCTACTGTTTGTACCCTTTTTCACTAAACCGGGTAGACAAACAGGACGCACCCTTGGATCTCAGCCAAGAGACACGGTCATCTGAAGGCCGCGCCGGCGCCTGGTGCGGAAGTTGCGCGAATCAGGGAGGGATTTTTGGGGGTCAAAAGGGTTAGAAACTTCAGGATGTTTGTGAAAAATGCGTGAGAATCTCATGAAATCACCAGTAACTCATGTTTTTTGCTGGTTGAACATGGGATTGCCAAAAACAAAAAAAACATTGGGTTATCATCATGTTCCAATCAAAATTGCGATTTCGGTGGTAGGCGCCAGGAGAAGTGCCTGTCCCAGCATGGCACGCACTGCATCCCACTCAATCTCCTTCTGTTTGGGTGCCACCTCGGCCACGACATGATCTGCTCACAGCCAGCACCACACTGCTTCAGGATTTTTATCGTTTATTCATGGCAAAAAAACAACAACTAACTTTTAACTCTGCCACATAGAAGTGCAGTTGACCACAGATACCCTACCGGATTTTCTTTTGAAAGCATCTGACTTTCGGGCTGCTTCAAAAGTTCCTGCATGAAAATGGCGAGAATAAACTCAACCTATCAACATCTATCACCAAGGTGTACCTCGGAATTAGACACCCCGGAACGGTTTTTGTTGTCGAGTCATCTCGGTGCCCCAAACTGCAGCGGCCTGCCCTGCTGGCCCTGCTGGCACTGCTGGCACTTGCAGCCGCTCTGCAGGGGCCTGGCTCAACTTAGATAGCCAGCAGGCAAATAATACCAATACCAACAAGTAGTATGATAAACCTGTAAACAATACCACGCTGAATAGATGATATTTTGTAGTGATATCATCCTATGGATTCCTATGGATCTTTATGGGTGAAAACACAAAGTCACGATATATATGAATAACAACATGGTAAACCCAATAATAAACCATCGTTATTGGTATCGTGACAATAGAAATGACAATATTCATTGGTCCCATCCTCTTAACATAAAATATCCTTTTTTTTACCAAATGGTGGATCTAGTCCTTTTGGCGGTATTCGGAGGTATTCATTATTAGGGGATGTGGTTCATATTATACATGATATATTACTATTACTGCAGTAGTGACACATAACAATGTTGATAATTGGAAGCATTGTGTCCTGGGATGCCCTGGCTATTCAAAATTCACCCATCAACTTGCCATCAAGCTAACCATCCTCAGGGGGGTCAGTTGCTACTTGCCATGCAAAAAGGCAGAAATCAAACCATCTCAGGTACAAGAACCAAAATAGCTCAGGTCCCAGTTGATGTGTTTGGTGTCAAAAGCTCCAATGACTCCAATGCATTCATCATTCATATATCTAAATCATTTCATGGTGAAGTTCCAGTTCATGCAATGTCCTGCTTTTCTGATTCCAAATTGAAGGAATTGCTGGGGCCTGCTCAAGCATTAAGCTTGAGGTCGCCTACCCGCTGCAGTATTGATCATGAATTACCCGGTTTTATCCTTTTTTCAACATCAGGAGAAAAGTCGTGGCAACGTCGACAGGTACGGATAGAACCTCCCTTGCTCACTGCGTGCATGGCGCCAATGACATGTGAGATACTAATCGTTGACTGCTGTTCATGTACTTCAAGGAATGTGTTTCTTCACTTCTATTCAAGTATATTCCAGCCTCCCTGAGTAAGCAAGCAGATAGAAAGGCATGATCAGCCAAGGCCTGGATTGCAAGCTGTATCTATGCCCCAAGAATTTTGTTCAATGTACATCTGGTTGGTGGTTCCAACCCTCCTAAAGAATCTCACTCCTGCGGAATCACTACCGCAAGTAGGAGAAGATAACAACAGAATTTAAACCACCAGCCAACAATTTGCCCCATGTATGTCCAGGTGACTTGGCAACTTCCCTCATATGTTACCGTTTCCAAGACGTCAGCCATCAGAAAACTCCACAGCCTCTCGGGATCTGTGACAACTTTGCTTATGAATCTGCCAATCCGCACGCTGACACTCCTGCCAACAACTAGATCTGGAGACAACCGTGCCCAAGCTGCCTCGACTTGATGGGGCCTAAGACCTAAGGAAGCTTTAAAGCTACTGACATCTCATACAACTCACATGCAGGGATATATATATAATATATATATATATCATAATAATAATAATAATAGCAATAATAGTAATAATGATAATCATGCAAACATTAATGTGGTAAAGGCAAAAAAATCCCCATAGTACCATAAATTGATGGTAAATACTTACACATCATCCCCAAGTGGCTGGAACGATAGCCCGGTGCCATCCGGTGCCCCGGTGGCCCGCTCCGGGCCACAGTACGCCGCTTCTTGGCAGCGCGAGCAGCGCGCCAAAGCGGGACAGCCGCAGACACGGCAGGGACCAAGCTCCATCGGTGCTCAATGGTAATATGTGGTTAATATACTGTTAATAATGGTTAATATATGGTTATTATAATTATTATATGGTTAATGATGGTTAATAATAATTTGCTTGGTGGTATACCTACCTCTCTGAAAAATGATGGAGTGAAAGTCACTTGGGATGATGACAATTCCCAATATATGGAAAGTCATAAAATTCCATGGTTCCAAACCACCAACCAGACTACCATTTGCAATCTTGCAGGTGGCTGACTTTTGGAGTTTCAACGGTTTACCCATTTGTTTTGGTGGTCGTTTCAAGATGTTCAATTTACCGATGAACATCTGCCCTCAACCGTCATGACCGCTTCTTGGAACGTATAATGCTTCTTCTCCACCGAGAATTTCAACCCGGGTAGATGAGTATAGATGTGCTGGTTGCAAATATCTATATACAAACGGATGTTGAATTTGATTGCTATAGGCTTTCGTATGCTCACAACTGTAACTGGAAACCCCGGACGATGTTGAATGATCTGTTGCACAGTTTTTTCCGGTTGGATGTTTTTCTCATCCATTCTGGGATTCCCTGTCGTTACCCTTGCGCCGTGTTTGCATGAGTGTGGGGTGTTCTTTTGAAAGCCACCCCAAAAGTGGGGAGTTGGCCCAGGGTAGGGTAGAAGTCTCTGAGCCCAGACCATTGTGACCGGCAAAATCATTCTGAACTTCCGGGAGCTACCATTCAGACCTTGAAGATCATGGAAATCTAACAGCACCGCTTATGGATCTATATGGGGGTTTCAAAAAGCCTAAATAAGAGCTGATGGAGGGGTTAAGCCCATAACAACAGGAGCTAGGGTTCTGGAAATGGCTATCTTCAAGTTCTGCGGGGTTGATCTACTTCTTCAAACCCAAATCGGTCAGTTTCCTTTTTGCTGAACCTGGTGAAGCTGCCTCAGGCAGCCCCAGTTAGCAGAGCCTTGGCCCACACGGACTGTTCCCAGCCTAGTTGTGCTGGGCATGCACTAAACCCCGCTTGGATTGCTTCCACCGTTTCACAGGTCTCTCTTTGAAAGACAGGCCCTGCGGCGGTATTCAGAATATGGGATGGCACTCCATGCTTGCGCTGTCTGGAGGATCTGAAATCAAAATATTGCTGCCACGTTTGATGATATTTGCGTATATTTGAAAAAAGGTAGATCGTCCTAAGGATGATAATTACGAATTCAACGAAAAGTAATATCAGATTCAATGAAGACCCACCACTAGTGCCCTTACTCCATCACCAAATTATCCATCAACTACATCTCAAAAAGACGGCGCTCTTCGCCGTGAATCACGCCATTCCATCATTGGGAAGAGCGACTGAGTTTCAGGTGCCACAGAGTCCCTTCTTGTCGTTGGCGTTTCAAGGGTTTGAGATTACAGCTGTTGAAACGTATTGAAGCTCCTCTCTGGGATCTGTGGCGCCCAACTATTTTTTCACCTGAGATTATTCCGACGATTTCTTCAAGGTTTTCATCTCCTTCTCCGTTTGTGTCACGTTGTCCTCCTTCTTCGCAAAGATTTTGAGATAGCGCTTTCCATATGGCGAGCGCGCAAAGGATCCCAGCAAGTCCCACATGGGACCACGACTGCGACCGTTTCCATGGATGAAACACTGCTTCCGTCCGAAGGCCTGTGGACCATGAGGGGCTGGGATTTTTTTGCTCACGCCCAAGGTACGGCCCCGTGGAATATGCTTGTTTTTGCCAACGGCGTTATTGATAACCCCTACGTTTTTGCACATTTTCACCTCTCCTCTCAGGTCAACGCGTCAGCTGCTGTGGATCTTGTCACGCATGGGGTGGGGTGTGGGGAGGTGGGTGGGGGGGAGGGTTGGTGGGGGGGCGTAATAACGTACCTTGCACTTGCAAACATGTTTCATCCTACGCTATGACATCCTCTCTTGCACTTGCAGCCAGGTGTCATGCTACGCTATGACATCTTCTCTTGCACTTGCAGCCAGCTGTCATGCTACGCTATGACATCTTCTCTTGCACTTGCAGCCAGGTGTCATGCTACGCTATGACATCTTCTCTTGCACTTGCAGCCAGGTGTCATGCTACGCTATGGGGGGTGGGGGTGGCGTAATAACGTTCCTTGCACTTGCAAACATGTTTCATGCTACGCTATGACATCTTCTCTTGCACTTGCACCCAGGTTTCATGCTACGCTATGACATCTTCGCTATGACATCTTCTCTTGCACTTGCAGCCAGGTGTCATGCTACGCTATGACATCTTCTCTTGCACTTGCAGCCAGGTGTCATGCTACGCTATGACATCTTCTCTTGCACTTGCAGCCAGGTGTCATGCTACGCTATGACATCTTCTCTTGCACTTGCAGCCAGGTGTCATGCTACGCTATGACATCTTCTCTTGCACTTGCAGCCAGGTGTCATGCTACGCTATGACATCTTCTCTTGCACTTGCAGCCAGGTGTCATGCTACGCTATGACATCTTGTCTTGCAACAAGCTGGCTGACTTGGCCTCCCTGTGCTGAGACGAAAAAGCCCGTTTTTTCAAACGTGTGTGTTGCACATGGATGCTAAACATGGGTGGAACTGCGAATTCATAGCCTCAAAGTCGTGCAAATACCATCGAAAATGGATGATGGTTTTTCAAAGAGAAAGCAGAAACCCTGTAAGGGTTGTCGATTTTATGCATGGCCCATGTTGAGAACTTGCAAAAACAGCGGGACCGTAATTCACGATGTGACCAAATGCGCAGAAATCCTCAACGAAATGATCTGAATGGATGTGTTCTTTTGATTTTTGGAATAGGAAGTTTTGAGTCTATCAATGAGGACCATGTTCACCGAACCATCCCCTGCTTTACACTCCTTGAAGCCGGGATTTGCCTTGGCAACCCAGTGCTACAACCGGAAAACAAATCCAAAACCAAAATTTGTGGGAACCCCATGACTTTACATTTCATCTTCAAAAGGGTTCAGCAAGCGCACTTCCTTGGTTGTTCCAAGCAATTAACTAGAGTGGAACCAGCTAAATGCCGAGCAACTTTGTTCCATATATGTCCATGATGAGTCAGGTTAAACAAGGCGGAGGGTTGTAAGTCCTGGAGTGGCATTTGCAGAGGCCGACAACTTGCAGACGTTTTTTCACAGAAAAGTCTGTGGGTGTGTAAAAATGTGGTATGTCCAAACAAGTCATTTCAAATGGGAACAAATGATAAATAACAAACCATTGGATCATGTGGCACCTAATTTTCAAACAGACCCCAAACATTCCTGTCGGCAATCTGCCTGAAATTGAGATGCCTCTCAGCTAGGGAACGTGGGATATGAATGGGAGGAGAATTCAGTATACCCCTGGCAACGTCAGCATTAGGGCAGTATCAGGACAGGGTGTGTCCACTGGAACTCCCGAAATCCCAACTGGATCCAACAGGCTCTATGGTTTCATCGTGCAAGGTCGCTCCCAAAAAAATGACAATGACAGAGGAACCAGTTCACAACTGCTGGTCTGAAACAAAAAACAAGAAAGGAAATGAGTGACTATAATGCAGTATCTTTGTGGCAACCATCCTTAATTCAAGCAGCAAGGGTCCGACATGGTAAGGCACAGTTCGCCAGCATAGTCCAAGGTGATTTTGGAACGCCCCTCGTGAAACCAGTAGTGCGCAATGACCGACTGATCCCCGAGTGTGGAAACTTCGTCATAATGCTCCAGCGACCATTTCACCATGTCCCGGATATCCTCACAAGAGACATTCATGGGATTGGTTTGACAGAAAGCTTACAGGAAGCATTGCCTTCTACCATTGCAAATGGTGGTTTCTTACACTTGTATTCTATTCATCCAATGTTGTGATTTACACAATACATATGTCCTTCAATGACATATGTCCTTCTGATATCTTCTAATGGTGTATTCCAAAAACCAATGGTGCACATTACATTTGGGACCTATTTGAAGCGTAAAACCATCCAATTTTCATAGCAGATCCCATAGGTACAGCCAGAATCGCTACGACCCCCCCAAAAGCTTCCCCGCAAGGTATGAAAGCAAAACTGTGAAATCGCTACGACTAAGGCAGTACTGCAGTCACATCAGGCGGGGACAAGTCACAACATCCCTATGGCACAACGTTCAAAATCAGGTGGTAGAAAGTGACATCAAGGAAGGACAACCCCCATGGCACAGCCTGTTACATCTGTGGTGATACAGTGATACATATAGCCAAAAGTATCCAAAAGTGGCAGAAACATTGCGCACTGCGCACAGTGATGAAAAGGGGAAGAGTGCAAGTGAATAGTATATAATAGATTTTCGGCCGCAAAACCTTTTGGGATATATTGGTGCCATGTTTCCCGTTGCCAAATTGGAACCCTATTGGTGCGGCTTCAAATTTCTTGCAACAGAAGTGGGCGGTTAGTTGTAGCAAATCCTATTGGCAGGGTTATGATGTAGGTGTATGTAGGGGCCTCCTGTTTCCCGCAGCCAAATCTATGGTTGGCACGATGTGCATCAAGGTCGTGGACAGCTCCCAAGAAGTTTGTCATCCTATTGCGCTATATCCGCCCAGCATTTCATCTGGAAAGTGTCATGGATAGTTTCATTCCAGCCAGCCTGCGTACAGACGTGTTGTTTCTCTGCAGTTGCACTCTCCTTGTTCCTCTCCCTTCTCTCCTGGTTCCTTTCCCTCTCTCTACAGTGGCTCCTGCCTCCTGCCAGTGCAAAACTGGGTGACACTGTTGTTCCGAGACTATTTTCGGTATTGACAATGTGGTTGTACCGGCAGCAGCAGGAGGCAGCAGCAGGCCAACAGACAAACAACAAGCAAGCAGCAGGCAAGCCAGCAGCCTGCCAGCAGCATGCCAGCCTGCCAGCAATAAATGCATATAAATGCAGCATCAGCAATAAAAGCACCATCAACATCAGGACCGTGATTCAGCACCCCCCTGAAGCAAAGTGGACACAGCAAATTGACGAAGCAGCAGCACCTGGCACCCTGCAGCATCCAGTGTGGGTGTGGACGTACTGGGAAAAAGGCAACAAAAGAGCAGCGTACGCCCCCTTAAAACAAATACTGCGTACATCCTGTGTAATACAAGCACCGAACGTCGTGGCAATACAACAAAATGAATTTCCAGGTGCACAGTTCCCGAACGATTTTTACGAGTTGATGCGACTTGTATAACCCTTTAAAGCGTTAGTAGTTGCAATTTTCCCACTCCAAAATTTTCACGCGGGGAAGGAACTGACTTCCAAAGTTCTATGCAAACAAAAATGTTGACGAAAAAAAAAGGTACCAATAAGAGACTACTCGGACTTGGGATTTATTGTTGGGATTCTTCACATTACCATGCATTACCCATGGCCAAGGCCATGAGCCCTAGCCCTAGACATTAGCAAAAACCGGCATCGCAACGCAGCAACGTGCCGCCAAAGGGCTCCCATGGGGCCAATCATGAAACCCGAGTTCAAAAACATCACGGCAGGAGGCTTTCGACCTCAGAATCATCAATGTTTCTGCTGGGTGATTTCAAGCCTTCGCCAAAAAAACCGCTGGTCATGGGTGGTTTATCATCCCAGCTGGGGATGAACTGAAAACAAAGGGTTGGAAATGTTTGACACATTCCTAAAACTCATACAGACAACAAACCCAATATCTTCCAATTGAGACCAGTCAAATTTGAAGCTGCATATGGCGTTTCTTCGAATTTCACTTCCCGCGGGGTGAGGCGATGAGTAGAACAACCATGCCATGCCGCTGAAGAAGGCGATAAAGTTGTATGACGTTGAAAAAAATTGTTCAACGCCATAGGTCCATCAGCCCAGCAATGATCCACACATATCCACACACACGCACACACTATCTGCAAACGGCCATTCTTCGCGAATAAAAAATGTTTTTTTTCGCGAATCTTTCGCGAACTCCATGTTCTCTTTCGCGGAACCCATGTTGAGCAACAACTCTTCTTATGAAGATGCGTTCATCACCTGCCAGGTTGTTGCTGATTAGGCAATTTTTGTGCAATGCTTGCTGGGCCACTCCCGTCAAAATGCACTTTGACTTTTGCCCACTCCTTCGCAAAACTTTCGCGAAAATACCCCTATTCGCAGACCCATGATGGCTGGGGGCGCATCAGAGGAAAAGGAACGCCAGAGGCCTTGGTGTTTGGCTCTCGCGCAAAGCCTCGATCACTTTTGGAAGCTTGGCTGCTGCATGTGGGGCTTGTTTCTTGAGACTTCAGAAAGCAACGTTAGGCAGTACCAGCGGCAGGTGCAAGGATGTGCTTCAAGACCATGGTATTTGGCGGTGGCAAAGCCTCACCTTCGGAAGCTTGGCTGCCACCTATGCAGGGAAAGGTAAATGTGCGGTACCACTCTCCCGCCGGACCCCTGGGCGATCCTGGGGGGCAGGAGGTGGTAGCCCTTAACAAGCTGCAATGTATACAATACAATGGTTAAGAAAGAAGATCCAGGCGCGCGAAAAAGTAAGAAAGTCACGAAACACTGTGTTTTTCCAATGATTTGTGGCTCCAGAGGGTCGAAAAATGTCGAAAAGTAGGCTCGCTAAAGCCTCGGGTGCAGAGCCAGCTGGCCAGATGATAGATGAAAAATTGCACGCCGTTGTGGCGCGAAGCACATTTCCAAGTCAACATGTACAAAACACACCAACGTCGGACCACTTTTAGAAGTTGAGATGTCGAAAAAGTGTCCGCCGCCGTTGTGGCACGAAGCACCTTGCAAGTCAAAATGTGTAAAGCACGTCAGCCTCGGACAACTTTTGGAAGTTGAGATGCCGAAAAAGTGCACGCCGTTGTGGCGCGAAGCACATTTCGAAGTCAAAACACCACATGTTCGGACCACTTTTGGAGGTTCAGATGCCGTTTCGCGTGGCAGGCGCAAGGGTTTATGCACCTTGTCAACAGTGAGCAAAACGCAAGGGTTTTGTAGCATTTCCAAAAACGATGGGAGGCGTGGGACACTTGAAGAGGATCTGGAAAGATGCATTTTCCGTGGCATGCACAGTACAAGAGACATGTTCATCAGAGCTGTTAGGAGGTCCGGGCGCTGTTTTCCTGAGAAGGGTTGCATTTTGGTTTTGGGAAGATGATTTTGCGTGACAGGTGCAGCACTTCGTATGACCTGGCATCACTTTTTCGTGGCAGGCGCAGTACTTTAGACACGTGGAGTGGAAAAATTGCAAAACGCATTGGTACGAGGCCGTCAGCTCTGCACTCAACGTTCCATTTTTGAAGGAAGTCTCGCAGAATTGCTTTGTTTTTTGATGTTGTCAACGTCAACTCTTCAAAAATTGCAGCAGTCTCGCAGAATTGTTTCGTTTTTGGTGTTGTCAACACAAAAAATTGCGGACGTGTCGCAGATTGTTTCGTTTTTGACGTCGTCAAGTTCCAAAATTGAGGAAGTCTCGCAGAGTTGTTCCCCACATCTTTGTGTGGGGTTCTTGTTTTTGATTCTGTATCCCTCCCGCTCCTCCTCCCGCTCCTCCTCCCGCTCCTCCTCCGCCCACTCCTCCACACATCTACACACCATCTGTCACACACAATCTTTGTCACACCATCTTTGTCACACACCATCTTTGTCACACACAATCTTCACGCACATCTTTGTCACACACCATCTTTGTCGACCACCATCTTTCACACACCATCTTTCACACACCATCTTTGTCACACACCATCTCTGTCACACCATCTTTGTCACACACCATCTTTGTCACACCATCTTTGTCACACACAATCTTCACACACATCTTTGTCACACACCATCTTTGTCGACCACCATCTTTCACACACCATCTTTGTCACACACCATCTTTCACGCACATCTTTATCACACACCATCTTTGACACACCATCTTTCACACACCATGTTTCACACACAATCTTTGTCACCACAATCTTTCACACACCATCTTTGTCAACCACCATCTTTCACACACCATGTTTCACACACAATCTTTGTCACCACAATCTTTCACACACCATCTTTGTCAACCACCATCTTTCACATACCATCTTTCACACACCATCTTTGTCAACCACCATCTTTCACATACCATCTTTCACACACCATCTTTGCCAACCACCATCTTTCACATAACATCTTTCACACACCATCTTTGTCACACACCATCTTTGTCGACCACCATCTTTCACACACCATCTTTCACACACCATCTTTGTCACACACCATCTTTGTCACACCATCTTTGTCACACACCATCTTTGTCACACCATCTGTCACACACAATCTTTGTTACACCATCTTTGTCACACACCATCTTTGTCACACCATCTTTGTCACACACCATCTTTCACGCACATCTTTGTCACACACCATCTTTCTCAACCACCATCTTTCACACACCATGTTTCACACGCAATCTTTGTCACCATAATCTTTCACACACCATCTTCGTCAACCACCATCTTTCACACACCATCTTTCACACACCATCTTTGTCGACCACCATCTTTCACACACCATCTTTCACACACCATCTTTGTCAACCACCATCTTTCACATACCATCTTTTACACACCACCTTTGTCAACCACCATCTTTCACATACCATCTTTCACACACCATCTTTGTCACCCACCATCTTTGACACACCATCTTTCAAACACCACTTTGTCACCCACCATCTTTGACACACCATCTTTCACACAACTTTGTCACCCACCATCTTTGACACACCATCTTTCACACACAACTTTGTCACACACCATCTTTGACACACCGCTTTGTCACACACCACCTTTCACACACCATCTTTGTCACACACCATCTTTGACACACCCTTTTTCACACACCATCTTTGCAACACACCACATCTTTCACACACCATCTTGTACACCCAACTTTGTCACACACCATCTTTGACACACCATCTTTCACACACCACTTTGTCTCACACCATCTTTCACCACACCACCTTCCACACACAACTTTGTCACACACCATCTTTCGCCACATCATCTTTCACACACCACTTTGTCACACACCATCTTCCACACACAACTTTGTCACACGCTCTCTTTCACACACAACTTTGTCACACACACAGCATCTGTCTTTGTGACACACCATCTCGTTACATCTAATTAGACTACACGACACCAGTTACACTAACAACTGCAGCAACAACAACAACAACGACAACAACAACAACAACTACTACTACTACTACTACTACTACTTACTAACTACTACTACTACTACTACAAATACTATTACAATTACAACTACAACAACAACTACTACTACTACTACTACTACTACTACAACTACAACTACAACTACTACTACTACTACTACTACTACTACCACTACCACTACCACTACCACTACCACTACCACTACCACTACCACTACCACTACCACTACCACTACCACTACCACTACTACTACTACTACTACCACTACTACTACTACTACTACTACTGCTACAACTACAACTACAACTACAACTACCACTACAACTACCACCACCACCACCACCACAACTACAACTACAATTACACTACACTAATTACACGCAGCACACTAGAACTACAACTACAACCACGCTACATTACACAACACTACAGACACTACACTGATTAGATTGCATTACGCTACAGCTACAAGCGCAGCTGCAACAACAACTGCAACTACCACTACATTACACTACACTACACTACACTAATTACACTGCACTACACTGCAACTACAACTATACTACCTTACACTAGGCTACACTACACTACACTACACTACATTACACTGCACTACGCTACACTAATTACACCACACCACGGCTACAACCTGCAACTGCGCTTGCAACTACACTAATTACACTATATTACAACTACAGCTCCACTACGCTATACTACGCTATACTACACTACAACTGCAACTACAACTGCAACTGCAACTGCACTACACCACACTACATCCAGCAGTTGTGGTAAGGTGACCACTGCAACCATTGCAACCACTCCAAAAAACACAACTCCAACCACCTGTCGGTCCATCAGTGGATTCGCTCTGCCATCCGTGATTCACAACAACGAACCTCTCCTATAGGTTTCCTATTTTTGAAACTCCCGCCACCGCCTTGCGCGGTACTACTGGTCATGATTCATGATATCCAACTTTCGTGAAACTTTCGCGAATGAACAATTCTTTCGCAAACTCGCAAAAAAACTTTCGCGAGGGTTCCCAGCATAACATGAACGGTCTTCGCAATTAAAACTCTTTACAAGGACCTTTAGATCGATCACCATTTACATATAATACATATATTCATCTGATTCGTGTATGCCTGCACACGCTGCTTAAAACCAGTTGCCATATAAAAAAAAAAAAGTTCCAAATTCAACTATATAGTCATGATAATCCATACAAAAAATGGCATAATCCATGTTGCATATATCAAATTATGTAGTATCCCGATTAGTGTGGTGATTCGGTATTGTGTCAAGTTTTCCAAAATAATTCTGAATCAGTATGCTTGTTGGGGTGGGTCGGTTTATGGCAACGTTTTTTTCTGAGGCCAATTTTTGTGTCCAGCATGTTTTGTATATGTTTTTCACTTTTGGAGTTTTTTCCATTTTATTAAAATAATTAGTTGGTTAATTATTTTGTGAATACTTGCAATCTGTTTTTGAACATACAAAAAATATAGGATGCCTTATTAAAACACCATTAAAAAACAGCACCCAAACAATTGTTCAAGGGGGTAGCCCGTGAGCAGCATTGATCTTCAATAGTATGTTTGTTGTGGTGGTCCTCTATCGTGTCTAGCTTTTTTTTCAAGTGAACATTGTCCAAAATCTTTGTCTCGTTTCCTTTTCCTTTGCTAAAGTTTTTCTATCTTACTTTCTTAGTTCCATTCTCTGGGAAACCCATTAAAAAAAAAGCAATCAGACAATTTTTCAAGGGGAGTAGCCCATGACCAACCTTGATCTTCAATAGTATGTTTGTTGTAGGGGTCCTCTATTGTGTCCAGCTTGTTTTTGGAGCGGTTTTTCCCAAAATCCTTCTCTCCTTTCCTTTTCCTTTCCTTTGCTAAAGTTTATATCTTTTTACTTTCTTAGCCCCATTCTTTTGGAATTCTCAAAGAATGTCTAATTTCTCAAAATATACGATGCCTCATTAAAACACCATTAAAAAAAAAACAGCACCCAAACAATTGTTCAAGGGGGTAGCCCATGAGCAGCATTGATCTTCAATAATTAGTGTGTTTGTTGTGGTGGTCCTCTATCGTGTCTAGCTTTTTTTTGATGTCCAAAATCCTTGCCTCGTTTCCTTTTCCTTTGCTAAAGTTTTTCTATCTTACTTTCTTAGTTCCATTCTTTGGGAATTCCCAACATGTCTAATTTCCCAACATATAGGATGTCCTATTAAAACTGCACTTAAAAACAGCACTCAAACAATTTTTCACGGGGGTAGCCCATGAGTAACCTTGATCGTCAATAGTATGTTTGTTGTGGGGTTCTCTATTGTCTCCAGCTTTTTTTTGACGTGAACATTTTCCAAATCCTTGTCTCCTTTCCTGTTTCTTTGATAAAGTTGGTCTATCTTACTTTCTTAGTTCCATTCTTTTGGAATTCTCAAAATGCCTCATTTCCCAACATACAGGATGTCCTATTAAGACACCATTAAAAAAAAAAAACAGCACTCCACGGGGGTAGCCCATGAGCAACCGTGATATTCAATAGTATGTTTTTTGTTGGGATCCTCTATTGTGTCCAGCTTTTTTTGAAGCGTTTTTCCTTTGCTATAGTTTTGTCTCTTACTTAATTCAATTCTCCTGGAATCTTCTCCTTGGTTTCTATGGTGTTTCTATGGGATTTCTTTCAAGGTTCTATGGAAATTCTATGGAATTTCGATGGTGTTTCTATGATATTCTATGATGTTTCCAAAGGTGTGTCTATGGTAGTTCTATGGGATTCCTATGGAGTTTCAAAAGGATGTCTATGGGTTTTCCTTTGGATTCCTATGGGGTTTCTTTGGTATTTTGATGATATGTCTATGGGATTTCTTTGGGATGTCCATGATATTTCTAGTGGATTCCTATGGTATTTCTATGAGATTACTATATGGGATTAAAAAATGATTTCTATGGTATTTCTGTGATATTTCTAGAGGATTTCTTTGGGAAATCTATGGGATTCCCATGAAGTTTCTTCGGAAATTCTATGGTGGCTCTATGATATTTCTATGGGATTTCTATCGGATTCCTGTGGAATTTCCATGGTATTTCTATGATATTTCTATGGGATTGCTAGGGATTTCTAAAGGGATGTCGATGGTATTTCTATGGGATCCCTATGGGGTTGCAAAAGGATGTCTATGGGATATCCATTGGATTTCTATGGGGGTTCTATGGGGTTTCTATGATATTTCTATGGGATTTCTTTGGGATGTCCATGATATTTCTATGGGATGTCTATGATATGTCTATGGGATTACTATGGGGTGTCTGAGGGAATTCTATAGGATTCGTATAGGATTTCTTTGTGGTTCCTATGCTATTTCCATGTTATATCTATGATCATTCTATGGGATTTCTGTGGGGTTCCCCTTTGGGATTTCTATGATAAATCAATTGAACATAAATTCAAACTAAATTGAAATCAATTCAAAATCAATTGAAAGTAAGTTGCAATCAATTGAAAATCAATTGGGTGTAAATTGAAATCATTTGAAAATAAATTGAATGTAAATTGAAATCAGTCGAAAGTAAATCGAAATCAATTGAGAGTAAATTAAAATCAGCTGAAAATCAGTTCAAATCAATTGAAAATCAAGTGAAAATCAATTGAAATCAGTTGAAAACCAAGTGAAAATCAATGGAAACCAATTGAAAATCAAGTGAGCGTAAATTGAAATCAGTTGAAAATAAATTGAAAAATTGAAATCCATTGAAAGTAAATTGAAATCAATTGACATCAGTGGAAAATCAACTGAAAATCAATCCAAACCAATTGAAAATCAATTTAAATGAATTGATCCAATTTTATTGAGCACCTGGTACTTTAAAAAAACACATTAAAGAGGCTCTCAGAATTGTTTGGAGGGGCGCTACACTAATCAGGATCCGACAACATACATGAAAAATATGAAATATATACTGTATACTGGTCTATCAGTATCATCTTGTATCATTTCATTACATAGCTACTGAATCATTACCATAAATCCAACAGTCACCAGAATTCCCACAGAATTCGTGATAGGGCGCAGGGGCAGCAGGTGTTTCGGCAGCCATCTGGGGCCACGTAGCCTGCCTAAGCTATGCTGCCCGGCGTGCCCGGGTCCCAAGATCGGGGAGATGATCCCCATGACTTGTTGGAAACCTCCATGACTGGTGGGGATGGGGATTGACATTATGGGATAACAATTAGACTTCATCTGTATGACTGTATGAAAATATCAAGGGGGATCAAGGGATATCAAGGGAGCCGGCTGCCCAACACTGACGATTGAACGGATGAAACCTTAATGCACGGCAATCTTACTGGCGAACAAACGGTTTTCAATCATTCGAGTTCGGGGCAATCTCTTTCCTCCTGGGCGCCGCCAAATGGATGTAGCCTGCGTTGCATGTAAACGTATATAAAATACATAAAAATGTATATATATATATATATGTATATATATATGTATATATATATATGTGTGTGTGTGTATGTGTGTATGTGTGTATGTGTGTATGTGTATGTATGTATGTATGTATGTATGCATGTATGTATGTATGTATGTATGTATGCATGTATGTATGTATGCATGTATGCATGTATGTATGCATGTATGTATGTATGCATGTATGCATGTATGCATGTATGCATGTATGCATGTATGCATGTATGTATGTATGCATGTATGGATGCATGTATGCATGTATGCATGTATGCATGTATGCATGTATGTGTTGTATGTGTTGTATGTATTGTATGTATTGCTGTATTGTATGTATCGTATGTATTGTATGTATTGTATGTATTGGATGTATTGTATGTATTGTATGTATTGTATGTATTGTATGTATTGTATGTATTGTATGTATTGTATGTATTGTATGTATTGTATGTATTGTATGTATTATGTATTGTATGCATTGTATGCATTGTATGCATTGTATGCATTGTATGTATTGTATGTATTGTATGTATTGTATGTATTGTATGTATTGTCTGTATTGTATGTATTGTATGTATTGTATGTATTGTATGTATTGTATGTATTGTATGTAGTGTATGTAGTGTATGTAGTGTATGTAGTGTATGTAGTGTATGTATTGTGTGTGTATTGTATGTATTGTATGTATTGTATGTATTGTATGTATTGTATGTATTGTATGTATTGTATGTATGTATGGATGTATGCATGTATGCATGCATGCATGCATGCATGTATGTATGTATGTAATCAAATCAAGTCAAATCAATATATGGTCATCAGTTTCGGCGTATCAGTCCAGGAAATGTAACCACCAACCAGTCCGACGCCCACTAAACATGATATTGGTTGTAAAAGTAGCGCCCGAACGCAGAAGCTTCCAAAATGAGCAGTGAGGGATTTTTTTCCAGCAAGAGCTCTCGCTACAGCGTCCTTCACAGTTCGCCAGCTTTCCCAGAACAAAGCACCCGCGGAAACACAGACCCTCCCTTTGACGAATGCTGGAGCCGCTGCACCCACAAAATATGCTACTGTGATCTACTGTTTCATTTCCCAACTTTTGCTACTTCTGTGGTTGATGATGTGAATACCTTAGACTACCTCAGACTAACCACGACCAATCACGACCATTCGCCCATAAAATTTGGGAATTTGCTACCTGACCTTCCTTTGATCATCATCCTCGCCATTGCTGGCTACAAGTTCATGCATGATGCGCATGTTTGTTTTGGAATTGCCACTGCCAGGAAATTCACCGGAGATGATTGATGGTAGACCTTGCCTCCATGATCCATCATTATCCCCTTCATCGCCCCGTGTGCTTTCCGCAACAACATGGGCTATAACAGCAGAGGACGCCCCGGATTGCACCCACCCCTCCTCGCCCCTCCCAAAAAATTCAGCTCTGGCCATGTCGCCCAAAAGCCGCCACCCAGATTTTGGTGCGACATATCATCCGCCCAAGATGGCACCTGTGACGCTGGTGCCCGGACTTGTCGGGGTTGAAAACGGCTTGCAATCAAATTGCATACTGGCTAGCGGCTATCATATGGTTTCGGAACTCTTAGCAACTCCTTGGCTCCCTATCCTTGATTTGGAATATCAATGCCCGTAGCTCCCTAGCTCCCTCCTAACCACCAAATAGGTCTGTGACATCACATTTGCTGCTGGAAAAAAGATGAAAAAAGGGTGTGGCCGGAAGGCTACTGCCAAGTAGGATCAAAGAGGACATAAGAGGACCGACCCATCTATCATCACTGTCTGGCCAAATGTCCCATTGCAAAGCAAATTACACTTTCTTGAAGACTGACCCACACTTCTTACATCAAGCATCGACGCCTTAGATATTTTTGATCTCTGACTGTCAACCACCCTTAGTCTGCACCAGCAGGAATGCTCCCTGCTGTTAAACTGCAATGTCAAACACAGGCTTTAAAAAAACCTGGGCTGTTGAAAGAAGATTGTCACATCTTGGGGGAACCCTAAAAAATCAATTGGGGTTGATTAATTCGGGGCTGACATTAGTCCCAAAGCCTTAGGAACTTTCCAGCACTTCTGCTCACCACAAGCAATCTCAGCACTGATGACAATGGGCGCTTTGCTTCGGTTGACGATCTCATGGTATGACCTGAACATGGTCCGAAGAAGTGCCCCTTGTTACCAACAAACGCATGACAACGACCCTGACTGTGCACTGAGCGGCACTGACTGACCCCTTGGAAACCTTTGAGTTGGTGAGTGATGTTGATGCCGATTCCTGCTGCAACTTCCATTCTTTGACGTTGGAAGTGCCCAGCACTCACAAAGAAAATATTTAGTTAGCTGTTAGCTAGTTACATCCACTCGCGCCGCCAACAGAATAACAAGCACAATTCAAAGTTAAACCGATGCCAATGAACATCCGGAAAGTGAAATCACAATCTATTGAAATCTGATGCAAATCGGCACGGTGCAGGGTTGCTTCAACAGGCCCAAAGGGTGTGCCAGGCACCTGAAAAATTGTTCCATGTCGCAACCTCCCCAGAACACGTCTGCACCATCCATGAAAACAATAAGATCCTGACCACGATCATCGAGGCAACAAGGCAAAACATCATTGCAGCCGACTGGGGCAAGAAATTGCTACTACGAAAGGGGAAAAATGATGATGAAGCATCACATCTGGGGGCACCACGAACCGACCTATCTTCGGAGGATAGCTAACTATGTAGAGATATGTAGAGCTAGTTTGCCAACAAATATTGAGGACGTATGCCCTCCAAGCAGAAACGACTTTATTGGAAGCAAGAGAAGCAGAAGAAAAAACTGGTGGTTTCACACGGTTTCGCCCACCTGAAGGGGGAAAAACAACGATTCAGTAGGATCATCATTCTATATTTGGAATGGAATCACTTGAAAGACGAGCATCTGATTCCGCTCGGTTCTCCAAGAAAGGCAGCAAAAATTCAAACTTTGTCTTGAAGCCGTCCCTTGGTTGTGCACTTCATCTGGTCAATGCCATTTTCGGGCAATTTTTCCCACCCTCCAGTGTCACACCAAGGCATAACAATTTCAACATGACATTGTTCCGGCAAATTCGTGTATGTTCTAGGACGATGTGTGCTGCCACTACGCCCCAAGAGCATTGTAGACGACATGAAACCAACAAACGGTGACCCTGAAGCAAGTAAGAAGCAAGTCAGTGAACCTAAAACAGAACCACATACAACATGATACAATCACTATGTTGTTGCGCAGAGCTGCAGAGTTGCTAATAGTGGTGGGAGTTGCATTGTTTGCACAAGTGTTTTTTGGTATGACTACGGGCAGGCCGCTTGACCTGCTTGCAACTTCCGATCTGGGCTGGTGCTGTGCGTGGCATGCTTGCCTACTGAACATTTTACCCTCACATGCTCAAGAGGTGCAAATAAAGATCCTGTCCATCAGCCTTCAAGCAGATGGTTGTTATTTGTTGCTGGAACCCTGCAAGGAATTTGGTTTTTGGTCTTATTAGTGATTTGGAAGACTTGCTTGGCTATGGGTTTCATAGGTCTCTTCTCTGGAATCAAGAACAGTAGTCGGAACCGCACTTAATTTGAAAATACGAAGTCACGCCGCAGGTGCGTTCAGGCCACCAACTGAATTTGAAAATCTGCAACATTTCAGGGACGTGATTGTCACTCTGCCCCGCACATGGTGGGATTTGTTGCTCTTTGAAGGATGCTGAATGAAGATTGGACTGTTATGGATCACTGCACCATTAAAAATAAGTTGCATATATGTGTATGTTTCTATCGCGGTTGCTGTTGGGTGTGCCTGAATTTTGGCGGTTGGGGGCGTTTGCGGACTACAACGAAATTGCGGGTACTGTAAAAATGATTAAGAAGGAATATAACACGTTGCATCTTGGTCAACATGTGTTCCAACAAACACAGAAACCAATCAGACTGCAGTCAGATACAATGACAGCATTTTTTTGTCGGGGCAATCGAAAGACAAAATCTAAGCCACACCATACTACCCAAATGTTCTAATTTGTAGGCATCAGGCCATTAATTTGGCCAATGGTTTCGGCGAATTTTACCACAATTTCTTCGGATCTTGTGCGGATTTCTGTTCAAAAGTCAGGCTGGTGGAGCAAATGAAACTTTGACCTGATCACTGCTATTTGATTGGGATGGTGTGGGCCTGCCTTCAGGCCATGCTGAAAAACCGGAATGTGTGTCATCCGGCAGGTGAGACCGCTGCACTTTGACGCGTGAATCTCAGAGAAACCCTGGATGAACAATCAAGATCCTGATTTTTGAATGGGTGGCTGCTTACCACCAAAAAAAGAAAAAATCCCTCAAGCAGTTTGAGCCAAGTTTCCATGTTCTCCCCATGCCCAGGTTGAAGACTTCAAATGGGGCACCAGCTTTCGTCACCAAAGGTGTGCCCTCGGTGTCTAGTGTCACAAAATATGCCGGAGTGACTACAGCTGGAGTTGTAGTGCTACTCGCTCTCCTCGTGCTACTCGTGCTACTCGCTCTACTCGTTGTCATTGTCGTGGAATCAGCACCTTCAATCTCTGCTCCTTGACGGAGGATTAGGAACTCTGGTGATTGCTTTTTTGTTATGCAAAATATGGGGCCAGGGCGGAGATGAGCGGCACTGGCACTGACGTTTTTTTGGCACTGTTTCTGTGGCACGTAGGGGCTGATCAATTCATAAACAATGATTTTTCACCATGAACATCATTGAACGGGAAACAATAGCGAACATCGATTGTATTTATTGGATATTGTTGGAATGATGATTTATTTTTGTCTGCATACCTCGATCGGTCACACAAGTCTAATTGGGCCAAGGCAAGGTCACACGCCTACATATTGGAGTGTGATATGCTTCAGAAGCAAGCACTGGAGCTATTCTTGTTCCCACTCCCCAGTACCTTGGTTTTGTCCTGCGGTGCTCGCATGATTAACAACCACACATTGTGTACCGAACGCTTTGAATTTGATGAAATGGGGGCGCAGTGGCAACGCTTCAATCTTGTTGCCTGTTGTTTTTTGCAATCGAATCCAAATGTGGTGGTGTCTATGTACCCACAAAATTTGAAAGCTGGATCACCACTATCGTCTCAAAAAAAGTGCGCGGTGGGGTTGAATAAGAAGCAAAGTGCCTACAAACACCATTCCGCACATGTATACAGAAATATTATATATATATGCTGAGGTGACTCTTGAGGGTTTGAAAGAAAAAAACGTAGGAAATGAATGGAAATGATACTAACATGATTTCAGAAGCAAGACTTGGTCTTGAATATGTGGTCCCATCCCTCTTTTTTATATTTTTTAATCACCTGTACTGTCTGCCTGTGCTCCAAGTTTTGCAATCTGTTCAACAAAGTTCGCACACACTACAGCAAACGCATCCGGTCACTGTACTGGAAATTTCCGACCACCATGTCACCATGTGGCTCCACCACGCCAAGATTCTCAGCTCGGCGCGCACCTCTACCTCTTCTAGCATTTTGCTAGCTGAATCAGCTAAAGCACCAGCCAGGAGGATGACCAAACCACAGAGAAAGAATGCGCACCATGCCCACTCCATACGGCACCGGCAACGCCGGATCGATCCGGTAGCTTCTGCATCCTTCAAGCAGGCGGCCTCTCTTCCAGTGCCTGGAATGCAAAGGAGATTGCCACTGAGCAAATTCAGATCGCCAACGCAACGGAAAAACAAGTTGTAATGTTGTCCAGCCAATAGTGATCTCTTGTCAATGGTAGAAACATTTTTCCGCAACTCCAATTTTTCTCCAATACTAAAAGCCAATTAGCTCTATTTACTTTTAGTATTGCCGATGTATTGCCAAAAGAGTCATGTTCAGACCTTGTCCAGAGGGCATGGCCAATAGTGGACCCAACATGGCAATAGTGGAAACTTTTTTCCCAACTCCAATTTTTTCTCCAATACTAAAAGTCAATTAGCTCCATTTACTTTTAGTATTGCCAAAAGAGTCAAGTAAAGCAAATCCTTTTCAAAGCAGCCTTCACTTTTGATTAGCAAAAGCTTAGATTCCAGAAATCTGATCCAATTACCAAACAGCTGATTTCCTTATAAAACCCTAATTAAAAAAGCAAGAAAACAGGTCCACAAAGGGTACCCCCTTTGAAAGCCCCAGAATAGCAATAACAAACCTGCACCAGGCATGGCCATAGTGGAAACTTTTTTCCGCAACTCCAATTTTGTTGTCCTCCTTCTCCTTCTCCTTCTCCTTCTCCTTCTTCTCCTTCTTCTCCTCCTCCTCCTCGTCCTCCTCCTTCGCCTCCATCCCAGCCATAGGGTTCCAAGACTTTACTATTGGAATGCTGACCCCCCCTGGATTTTCCTCCAAAATTATTTTATTTAGGCGGGGGGTTACTATTATGCAGCTAACATTATATAATATATAACATTATACTTTACAGAATGTTTATATATATATATTAATTATTCAAAGATGACATATCTGGCAATCCTTTCAAGATCATGCGCTGCTTTTTTTCGTGGCATACGGCTATACAATGCTATACCGGCTATACATGTTTTTGCCTACGGGTTGAAAACCGTCCGAGCGTTTTAGGCATTTTTTTATATGTTCCTTGGGGTGGGGTGGGGTGGGGGAATAAAGTTCACGTACTTGCGCGCTCCCATGATGTTACGCCACGGCACGTTCACTTGCACGTGCGCGCATTCGTCATGCTACGTTGAAGATGTGTCACGTCACGCAGGGGTGGGGTGGGGTGGGGTGGGGCAATAACGTTCACGTACTTGCGCACTCCCATCGACTCGTGCTGGCGCATGATCAAAGCCAGAGTTCCCGATCAGTTGACATCTTGCCCAGAAAACGAACAAAAATTGAATGACCACATTTGGACGTACGTTAGCACATGGCAGTGGCGATGGGAGGCAAATGTAGTTGGAAAAGCCCTGTTGGAGAAAACAGGTGCGTACTTAGCGAAGATGTAGAGATCACCGGAAAAAATGGCTGTCACTGAGGTTTTGGGCACGCTGACTTCCCAAAAGGAACCATTCTTGCACTCCGACATGTCAACTATATACAGTAAATCCCAATGAAAATTCAAAATTACAATAAAATTGACCTTCATGGACAACATAAAAACATGAAAAAACATTGCGAAACGCATGATTGACTTCTTGCCAGTCACATGAGAATGCTGTTTTTACTCGGCCCATTTCCAACCCGGCGGGATGTTTTTCCTCTAAGGATTTTTGAAGCAAGTTTGAATCCCTCCAAGCCATCCCAGGTTCCAGATTGTTTCCTCCTGACTAACGATATCGTCGGAAAGGATACCAGCACACAGGACAATTATGACGGGCTAAAAACAATATTAAATTGCAGTCCTAGTGCGGGATTTGGCATAATATCGTTTAGGATTCAGAGAAAGCGACATAGATCGACGAAATCTGTAGCCCTTGGCTTGAAAAAAGTTGATCCACACACCGTCTGGTAATCCAACACAGCAATCAACAATCCTTCATGTATAGATGATTTGCCATTAAAACCTCGATTTATACAGGGGTTCCCGTTGCCATGTTTGAATATACCGAACGCTGCCCTTCGCTCATACGAGTCACCGTTAAACTGAGCTTCGATGTCTGGGCGAAAAGCTGAAGGAATTTCTTCTGGGGCAACATCTTCCAAAACATCCAAGGGAAAGGAATCTGAGACAGTCACTTCCTTGGATGCATGGTTCTTTGGGATCCACACTTGCCCAACCCAAACAATTACAAAATCACACTAGGCTTAGTAGTATAGTATGATGATTTTTGGTGGATTTCTAATTCTTGGCGTATTTTGGTGCGGAAAGGAAAAAAAAACATCACCGACTCAAACAAACTAGGTAGCTCTCGCCCACTCTCTCGCGCGTTCTTTACCAGCATCTTCTGTAACTAAGGGTTTGTAGCTGGTCATGGCACCCGTCCCATAAGCAAAATGCTATCGCTGTAATCGGATGTCATCGGGCCACAACGTTCTACAAAGAGCCGAAACCAATCATCAAAACAAAACATGCACAAACATGCTGGGTAACTGCTGCAAGAGACCATGGCGGCACAGATTGTCATGTTTTTACTTAGAATATCTTAGAATTCAACAGTGACAAAATTCGATTTGCCGAACCCCAAAACTTCAAACCTCAGAAATCGCAAGACGAACCTGCTGCACAAAAACGCCGAAAGTTGTAGCCTACACGTCCGATACAAATAGTAATAAGTTCCTGCGCGTAGGGCGCCAAGCAATTGAATTTAAAACGTTTTCAAATGTTTTGAATAATTTTGGATATGTTTGAATATATTTTGCGCATGCGTAGGCAGTGACAGAATGACAGTTAGCCTTTGACAAATCAAAATTGCGCGATATGCAATGACACATTTTGTCTATGTATTTTTTCATAGGTCACCAACCTGAAATAAGGTCACGCGCTGGCCTTTAGCCTTGGGATAAAAGGGTTATAGTCTCATTACTCCACTAGGGTTTCAAAAACCAGTCACACGAAAAGCTGCTCCTACACCTCATTTTGCCTCCATCACACATGGTTGCATGCCTCCAATTTGGCCAGCTCCACGAGCACATTGGCGTAGCTACTTAAGATTGCTTAAGTGGCAGCGCCACACGTATGAGCACACATCAAGATGTAATACAAAATTGCCAAGCGAAAGTTAAGCGTGTAACATTGAAAGCGTGTAAAAATTGACATCATAACCAGTTGAAAGCGTAGCATCAAGATGTTATACAAAATTGCCAAGCAAAATTTAGGAGTGTAACATTGAAAGCGTGTAAAACTTGACATAACCAGTTGAAAGCGTAGCATCAAGATGGTATACAAAATTGCCAAGCGAAAGTTAGGAGTGTAACATTGAAAGCGTGCAAAACTTGACATAACCAGTTGAAAGCGTAGCATCAAGATGGTATACAAAATTGCCAAGCGAAAGTTAGGAGTGTAACATTGAAAGCGTGTAAAACTTGACATAACCAGTTGAAAGCGTAGCATCAAGATGGTATACAAAATTGCCAAGCGAAAGTTAGGAGTGCAACATTGAAAGCATGTAAAACTTGACATAACCAGTTGAAAGCGTAGCATCAAGATGGTATACAAAATTGCCAAGCGAAAGTTAGGAGGGTAACATTGAAAGCGTGTAAAACTTGACATAACCAGTTGAAAGCGTAGCATCAAGATGGTATACAAAATTGCCAGGCGAAAGTTAGGAGTGTAACATTGAAAGCGTGTGTAAAACTTGACATAACCATTGAAAGTTGAAAGCGTAGCATCAAGATGGTATACAAAATTGACAAGCGAAAGTTAGGAGTGTAACATTGAAAGCGCGTAAAAAACTTGACATAACCAGTTGAAAGCGTAGCATCAAGATGGTATACAAAATTGACAAGCGAAAGTTAGGAGTGTAACATTGAAAGCGTGTAAAACTTGCATAACCAGTTGAAAGCGTAGCATCAAGATGGTATACAAAATTGCCAAGCGAAAGTTAGGAGTGTAACATTGAAAGCGTGTAAAACTTGACATAACCAGTTGAAAGCGTAGCATCAAGATGGTATACAAAATTGCCAGCGAAAGTTAGGAGTGCAACATTGAAAGCATGTAAAACTTGACATAACCAGTTGAAAGCGTAGCATCAAGATGGTATACAAAATTGCCAGGCGAAAGTTAGGAGTGTAACATTGAAAGCGTGTAAAACTTGACATAACCAGTTGAAAGCGTAGCATCAAGATGGTATACAAAATTGCCAAGAGAAAGTTAGGAGTGTAACATTGAAAGCGTGCAAAACTTGACATAACCAGTTGAAAGCGTAGCATCAAGATGGTATACAAAATTGACAAGCGAAAGTTAGGAGTGTAACATTGAAAGCGCGTAAAACTTGGCATAACCAGTTGAAAGCGTAGCATCAAGATGGTATACAAAATTGCCAAGCGAAAGTTAGGAGTGTAACATTGAAAGCGTGTAAAACTTGACATAACCAGTTGAAAGCGCAACATCAAGATGGTATACAAAATTGCCAGGCGAAAGTTAGGAGTTTAACATTGAAAGCGTGTAAAACTTGACATAACCAGTTGAAAGCGTAGCATCAAATTGGTATACAAAATTGCCAAGCGAAAGTTAGGAGTGTAACATTGAAAGCGTGTAAAACTTGACATAACCAGTTGAAAGCGTAGCATCAAATTGGTATACAAAATTGCCAAGCGAAAGTTAGGAGTGTAACATTGAAAGCGTGTAAAACTTGACATAACCAGTTGAAAGCGCCGCATCAAGACGTTATACAAATTGCCAAGTTTTGCCCTTTGCACAAGCTTTTGCTCTGGAGTCATGGGAGCCACTGCAGGGGACGGATTTAGAGGCGAAGGCGGGAGTGTCGATTCTCGGGCAGGCGATGAGGTTGCTTTGAATCGGCCGCTCGAATGCCCAATTGGTTGGCAAAATGTGGAAAGGTCCCTGTCATGCGGCCTTATGCAAGACAAAGTCCATCTTCCTAAAGGTAACCTCCGTCTTGACTCCGCCCCATGAATTGGATGCGCATGAAATGAGATAGCGGGGCGGCCCCTGAATCACATTTTGTAGCCTTTGTTTGCATTTGATGAAAGTGGCAAAGTGCACAAGTCTGTTGATGTACCAGAACCTTCATTTGTCTTTCTGATATGAGATCGCCCTTGCATGGTTCTTGGCTTTGGATATGCTCAAGATTTTGGCGGGTGATATTTGCTAGAAGTTCAGCTCGCCAACAAATTCATGCTTCGTAGCGTTTCAGTCACGCTGCAACCTGCAATGTGCAGCATCGGCAACTGTTGTTATCGCAGCGACCAAGGAAGCAGAGTGGCAGCAGAAGATTGCCGGTTGGTTGAGCTGGCGATTGAGGATTGTTCTCTTTCCTGCGAATGCCTGATTTTTTTTCCTGCGATTTAGCTATTTCAAGCCAGCACGAGGACAACTATGAAGCATGACAAGCTGCACAATGCTTTCAAACCAGTTGATTTCAAAGGAGGAAAACCGCCTTCGGAAGACGCCGTGCTTCTAACAAGCACGCATTTTGTAGTGCAGATCCCGGAATCACATTTTTTGTAGCCTCCACCTGTTCTGTTTGGATGCACGTGCTCTGTTTGGGTGATGGCAGGGCAGAATAGATTGGTTCTTTTCGCGCAAATGTTATCACTTGGTATTAAAATTTCCTGCCACCATTGCCAGCAAATTTCAACGGCACTGAACTTGCCTTCGGAACTGCAATAAAGGTAGTGGCACAAGCATTGGTTCACAAAAAAAATGATTCAGAACAAACTCAAAATGAAATAAAACAATGAAACTGACAATCATTTCACAACCACCAAAAAAAAAAACGCAACTACAACACCCTGGTGTGGTGCCAAGGGGAAGGGTGCACCCCTTTAAAAATAAAATTAAATTAAGGAACCTTTCAGAAAAAAAACGAACAAAATGATGGAACGTGAGGTACATGAAATTGTATATACAAACTATACATACTAAAAAATACTAAGGGAAAATAGGGTTAGGCCTCTCCCAAATAGCAAATGTTGGAGGTTGGACCCTCGTTTTTTTCCACTTTGTCAATCTGGTTATCCTCCAGCACTTTCTGGCATCAGCAAAACGAATATTTTGTTTTTGTGCTCATTGCTAGATGATCTGGGCGATTTTGTCTCTACATGAAATATTTCCAGGGCCCACAGGGCCACAAATCAAAGAAACATATTGTTCTTGCTACCAGGAAACAAGACTGCAAAAGTAAATGCTGACAACCTCGCAAGAAAATAGGCTGCGGAACCACCATGGATCACAAACCCCAGCGGGCCTCAGCAGGCAACTGATATGTAGGCTCCCGAGGCACTGGTATGATCATTGCAACATTGATACTTGGGCATCTTCATCTTATTTAATAATGTTTAACCATTTGCCTGATGAGGTCCTTAGATTCCTTTGTTTGGTGGTTTGCTTGATACCTTCTTAGGCCTCAGTTTGCTAGCATTTTGATACCATTAAGGCCATGCACTCCTGCTAGAATCAAATCAGTTCGACGGCCTTAAAACCGCAAACAAAAACCACGTCCCCAAAACTAAACAAAGGAATCTGACCCCATGTCAACTTGCCGGTTCATTTTTTTTCCTGGTTCCAGCCCCCCTATCCTATTTCGGCACACCAGTGGGGAATCTACAACAATGTCGGTTCACGCGGTATTGCATTTCGGGTCGAAACATCCGAACTACAAAAAATAAAAATCCGCTGTACCAAAAAAAACGGGGACTACAAAATCCATGGCTTGAAAACATTGGCAATTATAAAATGCATAGTTATAAAACATTTACTGTTGACACAAACCCTGCAATATCCTACAATGTGCTCTTGGAAATCTTAAAAAATGCAAATGAAAATTGAAATAATTTGTGGTGATTTGTGTAACCTTCGAGTGATCCAAATATTTATCTTAATATGTTTACTGTCTACAAAAAAATGAACGAATGAACCATACCCGTTATTTTGTTACCCAAATTGCATCGTGCAGGTTCAGCAAGGGTAGAAAGAAATAAAGTAACAAAACCAAAAAATGAATTTGCACATATTAAGATATTTTTTTACATGAATGAATGAATTTTCGCAAAAAAGATTGTAAGATAAATATAAGATAACTTAGTGCCCTAGTTTGAGGGGCAAAGATTTTATCTACTCGTATTTTAACATATGTTAACCATAGACAAAAAAAAATGGGGAGAGGTTAGGGGACAGGATAACCGATAACAATTTAGGCGCGGATTCGACATTAGGATTGTTCAGGGGAAGGGTGTTCGGGGACAGAAAAATATTGAGATGTTGGATACACATGCCCGAATTTCAAAAGCTGGGAAAAATGGAAACCATTTTTACACATGTACATGTGTGATGTAATCAAAGGAGGTTGGGAAGCAATCTTCCGAGTTACGATGACTTTTATTCGAATGATTTTATTT